GCAGAAAGCAGATATGATCAGGCATGGCAGATCCTAGTTCTGATCTCAAAATGGCCCAGTAGTTGAGTGTGTGGGTGGAGGTATGATAAGTTAGCATCAAGTATTTGGATTGTTTTATATGTAATGAAAGCAAACATTTTTTCACTGGCTTTTAAGATATCTCTCTCTTTTTCAAAGGCACAAAAGTAAAAGCCAAATTACATATACTTTTGTGATCTCTAACAATTAGTGGCAAACCTTAGTTCAGAGTCATACAGGATAAGGCATAAAGTCTTTGAGGATCAACAAAGAATAGAACTTGCATTTCATGGCTTGCTACAATGAAAGTCACCCTTTAACTGCTCTGGGGACTGGCTTTCTTCAGAACATCAACAGAAACTCTGAAATTTGCTGCTTTCAGGACATCCTCTAGCCCTCCTAAGTGGCACATTGTTAGTTTATGAAATATTATCATACTGGGCTTGAACTAGATACAAATTACTTTTCTAGATTTTAGGAGTGGTTGCAATATATTCCTGAATAAATATATGTTGATATCGACAGATAAACCTGTGCTTTTCAGTGTCTGGTGTTTGGACATTAAGCTCAGGTCCAAAATTCAACTTTACCTAAGGAAAAGTCTCTTGTAAACTCTAAGGAAAACAAACAATCTTCTAGGAATGAAGCTTGGGGCAAGTGCAAGGGAAACTAAGCAGTGACCTTACAGACAGAATCTAAGTCATGGTAATGTTGTTTGCAAGGACAAACTGGTTATGTATAATGAGGTTATTGACCTGAACTGTTTTGAGCAGTTTTAAACATCAGGGTGAAGTTCATTGTAGCCAAGCCGGCAACATTAGCTGAGAACCCAAGACTGATCATTAAACAGCCACGATTACAGGATCTCAGGAACCTGCATCATAATGGGAACCATTATAATTTTGGTCAGGTACAGAGAATCAGGTAACCTATTGCTGATTCTCTATAGCGTATTCTCTACAGCTAAATACCTATAGTGTATTTAGTACTGGACTCTCATTTGCAAATCGAGGCATTGATTAGCTATTTTTTGAAAACTGACTTGGCTTTCCATCTCCCTCCTTATGTAATAGCCTGCGAACAAATGTGCCATAGACTTCAACATGCATATGGAGAAGAAAAAAAAGTAGAAAGCTTTATCTCAGGCCAGCTTTTTGCCAAAGGAAGAAGCAATTACATGACATTTCACTAAAAATTCTTGACCCAATAAAATACTGAAGCCTGAATGCCGATTTTCCTCTTTTATGAGAAAGAGCAACAGAGAAAAGAAAGGTCACAGACCATATTGTGATTCTTTATAGCTGTTGGAGACAGACAGTATGATGCAGTAGCTTGATTTGAATTAAACCAAACAATATGAAAAGCATCAAGGCTGGCAAGCAAAGCAATAAAGCCCCAAAGAATTTAGTCTACCTTGAAGGTGGGACTACTTCTGTATTGATGGCAGCACACCAGGACAGAAATGAGTCCTTTAATGCAATGACTCGTTAATAGCCTTAAGATCACAATATATAAATAGGATATGCTGATCAAAAAGACAGCTTTGCCTATGCTATTACGTATGGCCAATATTTCCTTAGAAGTTATTTCATTGATTATAAATAGTCCATGTCAATGGCAAATGTACAACCGGGGAAGCATAACCCATTATGAGGTAATGGATGTTGCTAGAGGTTGCTTCATTACCTTCACTGGCTGAGTGGCTGGTTTTTCCTTGTACAAATGCTGTCCTTTTGACAAAATCCCTTCCACATCCGGTTGTTTAGCTTGAACTGCGATTTCAGTTTCCTGGGGGAAAAGAACCCATATAGTGCAGATTAACTTCACAGTTAGCAATAAAATTACTAAATTTAAATATACCCTTGGAGACTCCACATGTATTGCAGATCAATTTCTGCCTGGTACATAAGGGCACAAAAAAGCAACTTTTGGTGCAGAGAAAAGAAACAGATGTGAAACACTAAAGTTAAAAAAAATTAATCCAGTATTTTCTTGAATTATATAATAATACTCATACAGAAACACAGGCATTAACTTTCTACTTTTCAAAAAAGTAAAATGCAATAATGAGCATTTTGCTTTTAAAAGTAAAAATATAAATTCATATAAATTAATGAAATATAAATACATATAAATTCATAATTTATATGAATTATGTTAATTCATATAAATTAACATAATTTATATGAATAAACACTAGTTTTAGCTTTCATAATCTCAATAATTTTAATATTCATTTTACTTTATAAACTTATTTTACAAAATTCTGTTTTGAGTATTGGATATAAAATTTTGTTTTGAAATAGAAATCAAGTAATTCTTTCTACATCACTGTCAAAATTATTTTTTTCCAAAGAGTAAACACTTAAGCACAGTATCAAGGCTTATTATTTATTAATGAGTCAAATTAAATAGGCCTTTTGAAGAATGATTAAATTATTTTTTGTTATTGTTTGCTTTTCTTCAGTCTGGAGAATACAGAAGCATGATGAAAATCCTTCAGGTATATTAATATAAACCATTTTGTTACTGTCTGCTGTTTAGCTCTCTTGATGGGAGGACAAAAGAAATGTGCATAAATTGAAGCTGAAGGAAGTGAAGTTAAATATTACAGAAGACTTTTTGGATGGAACACTTGTTAAACACTAGGATAGAATATCAATTAATCAATGTCAGATGTCAGTCAGGACCTGGGCAATCTTCCGCAGAGAGTATCTCCTGATTAACCCATCTCTCTCTTCCTCCCTCTCCTGTCCTGGAGCCTCCCAGCACTGCTGTGTGTACCTGTCTTCATGTCACTGTTTCCTTTGTATACTGTGTTTGTACTTGTTCTCTCTCAATTCATCAGTAGGAAATCCCAAATTAGTATAATCTCATACTGCCCAGTAGGGTGTCTTACAACTTACGGGTGCTCAGCACATGTTCTTGAGATAGATAGATAATTTTCTCCAGTTCTTATTATAATAAATACCAGCGGCAAACAAGCATTTTGGTCAAAATTGTATATAACTAACCTTATTTGTTAATGGTTATGTCTGCAATTTTCAGTTCCTTTAGAACAGGAGTTTAGCTATTTTACATGTAGAATTACTAATTGATGGTCTTACTGCCCCTTGCCAAGAAAACAATTTGTTCTCTGAAAATGCAGTGCCTGGAATGACTGTATGTCTTTGCTAGAGGTAGAAATAGTTCTGATCTCAGTTCAGGAATAGGGAAAATTTAGTTTTACTTACTTCTGAATAGGTCCCCAGCCACTATAAATTCACCCTTGAATACCCCATT